TGATTGCGGTCGCCGGATTTCCAATTATTTACAATGTTTTCCTACAGGAACATGCATTAAATAAGTTACTGGCGAGTTACTGACGTTCATTAATGTTATATAAATTTATCTTAAAAAAGTGGGAATCTCACGCGATGTGACAGTACAAAACAGTACTGCTGCTTCAGGATATTTCAGACATATGGACACATATTGGATAGAGCAAAGCCACACGCAACTTGATCTTCCATTGTTGTATGAATTTGATAAGAAGTGCGCAACATTTTCACGCTAGAAACATGTCTTATGCAGGAATGTAACTGATATGCTGCAACGGCTCCTTTAAATATGAGATCAATGTAGCGAGTTTTGACGCTCTCGCCGCAGAAGCTGAAGGCAGAGAGCGTTGTCGCCAGGGCGGCCAGAGCGACCTTGGACGCTCTCGCCGCTTTCGGTGTGAACGTACGGTTAAAGGAAGAAGGTCTCACGTAGCGTTTGTGAGATACTACAGTAAGAACTAACCTTTACTAATCAGTATTGTGAAGTTGCATTGATGAGTCACACACAATACCGTTACAAAGTTAACGCGCGCGCCCGCGCACACACACACCGCAGATGACACACACACACACACACACAGGCAGGCAGGCAGACAGACAGACAGAGCGCGCTTAGCTTAGTTAAGGCTAACCTCAAGTACTGTGTGGATATCTGTGATGCTAATGTACAAAATAAACCTGATTTAACTTCCACAAACCGGGATTGAAGCGTCTTGTATAATTGTTCTGACACGCGGCTGTGCTGATGAAGTAAAGCTGAAGTAAAACGCTGTAATTAATTACACACATACTCTGATTTAAAACACTTTAAACATGTGAAACTCACTCTTAATCACATTTGATGATGATTGCTGATCCTAGCGAACAGAACAGACCTTTTATTCCCGGTTGCTTTGCGTATGTCTGCCTGGTCTTGTTGACATATACACGGGACTACCGGAACATGTTAATGCGCAGCTGTCAATCAATTCGGTGGGCGGGGGGAATCGCACACTTACGTAATGGTGCGATCGATTTGAAAAACAGCTCCAATTGGCCGACCCCTTTTTTGTAGTTAAATTGAAAAAAAAGGACTGGGTGTGTTCATATCACCCCAGTATGACGGTCTGTACACTATACCAACACACCCCTAGTAGCAAAGAATTCTGGCCCAAATTTGGCAAAAAGCTGGCACAGCAGGCATTCATCCGGCACTGGCATACAGCATGTGGGCCAAACATGGCCCGGGTTTGGCAGAGGTGGCACCGTTTTTAAGGCGGCACACAAGATTTGGGCCAGATGAAAAACGTGGTATTTGGCCCAGATTTAAAAATTTGATAAGTGGGCCATGTGAGTTTGGCCAGTCTTGACCCACATTTAAAATACACTAAAATCATTTTTGAGTAAAGAAAAAAATTCTACCAATCAGGTCACTTTGAGAAAAAGCGTGCCCATAGTGTGCCTAAAGCGCATCACTCCATGGGTTTATCAATTTCATTGCAATCGTGACACACCAACCTATCTGGCCCAGTTCAGGCCCAGTTATGAGTTATTAACTTGGCTGAGACTTGGCCCAGATATGGTCCGTGTTTGGCTCTTGTCTGGAAGCCAGATTTGGTCCAGTCATGTACCGTAATTCACTGCGGCATGTGGGCCAAGCAAAACCTGATTGTGTGGGCCAGAGCTGGGCCAGAGAAATTTTGCTATGTGGGACAGATCTGTCCAAACAGCTTGAAAAGTAGATTTTTTACCATAGGTGCCCTTTAAAGCCTCAGTGTGTCATATGTAGTGAGGTGCTCTCACAATTGAGCATGCAACCTTCTAAATTAAAAAGACAATTAAAAAACCAAACATCCCAGTTGCAAGGACAAACCTGTGGACTATTTTTATCAAAATATAAAACAGAAAAAAATGAACTGCATTATGGGATGTTGATCTCTGCTCTGTGGACCTTTAAAGTTAAAAAATTCAACTCTACAGTTTAACAAAGTGACTTTTATTGACATTTTAATAGTTTGAAACTATATACTGTATGAGGGCCGGAGCAAGCTGGTTTTAGAGGGGTTTTGGCAACTTCCAGGCTGGTTTCCAGCCATTTCCAGCCTGGTTTTAGCTGGTCAGGCTGGGAGATGACCAGCTAAAACCAGCTTGACCAGCCTAGCCAAGGTGGGAGTCCAGCCAAAACCAGCTATGTCCAGCTTAAACCAGGCTGGTCAAGCTGGTTTTAGCTGGTCATTTTCCAGCCTGACCAGCTAAAACCAGGCTGGAAATGGCTGGAAACCAGCCTGGAAATTGCCAAAACCCCTTGTAGCGAGGCAGAGGGAAAACACAAACACAACGGCGTGGTGTTACAAACAATTCCCCGGAGGGTGCTTTATTTACACGGTGGATAAGGGTGAACAGTGTAAAATACGGTGCTCTTCTTGGGATAGGTGCTCAGGGGAAGTAGTGTGGTAGAAGGAGAGTTTGGGTGCTGGATCGATCACTAGCTGGAGGTCGCAGTGGGTAAGAGACAGAGAGACACAAGCGTTAGCGCAGGGAGTCATGAAAGAATGAAGCTCGTCTTCCTCTTGTGTGGGGCTGGCTTATATGGGTCTCCTCTTGATTAGCTCCAGCTGAGATCGATCCAGTGTGGATTAGGTGCCAGCTGGGGTGAATCCTTGACCAGGGCGACGTGGCACCGGTATACTCGCTACACCCTCTAAAACCAGGCTGGTCAACCAGCTAAAACCAGCCTAGGCTGGTTTAAGCTGGATTTTTCAGCAGGGAGTGTAAAGCCTTCTAGCTTTTTGTAAACTTCAGACACTTCTTACATCTTGGCCAACTTATTTGATGTATTTTTGCTTAGCCCTAGTTTATTTTTTTATCATGCGTTCCCACTAGATGAACAGAACAGTAACTGATCAGAGCTTGGAGAGGTGAGCACAGACTCATCCGAGCACTGTGTCTTCAGAAGTGGAGATCAATAACTCATCACATTAAAAAGTAACTTTCAACATTTCTTTTAAAATTTCCCTAATATTTTCAGCCAACGTTTTTAAGACATTTTCAAGGTTTGTAATAGTTAAATAAACACAATGCCCTTCAAATTATATCTTCATGTGCTATTGATATCTTTATCTAATATACATTTTGGCGGAATTAAATAGTTTGAGCTCATATTCCCGTATGAAGTTCACAGCACTGACCGCGGGTCTGTCAGGGGGAAACTAGTGGAAGATTCGGGAGAGCAGTCATGTCTGAAAAACACAAATACCTGGAGCTGGTATCCATATGCCTGAGATGTTTACCATTCCAATAGCATCTGTCAGTGGTTTAAATGACACCGGTGCGCAGGCCTGGATTGGCTAATCGGGAGGACCGGGAGAATTCCCGGTGGGCCGGTCCGTTTTTTGGCCGCGAGGGCCGGTGTCCCTAGCTCCAGAATCTGTTGCTCTAAGCAGTCACACTTTTTAAATTAATTAATTTATTTACTTGACCACAGTCTTCTTATTCATTAATTTAATACAGCTCTCTGCTCTTTTCAAATATAACCAGTCTGCAGGTTCATAATGTTATAAGTCACTTCTCACTATACAACCGTTGTGGCCCAGTGGTTAGCACGTTAAATTACAACGTCGCCGACCCGGGTTATATCCTCACCTAAGTAAATTATTATTTTCATTTTTATTGTTGAGACATATAATACTGTTTGGGTTGTTGAACATTTGAAGTTCTAAAGCAGCTGTTTTCTCAAAAAAAAAAAAAAAAAAAAAAAAAGACGTGATAGTGTAATTAGAAACTGAATTGGAAATGAACTGAGGTGGGCTGGTCTGAGGCTTGAAACTCCAGGGCTGAAAAGGAGTCCCACTCCGGCCCTGCCGGTGCGTCCATGATGTATTGTTTATCCGCCATCACGGGAAGCACCTTGCACCCTGGTGGCGGCTGGGTAAACTGCTTTAGTCAGTGTAAGTCTGATTAATTTATTAATTTTCATTTCGGCTTAGTCCCTTTAATAATCTGGGGTCGCCACAGCGAAATGAACCCCCAACTTGTCCAGCATACATTTTTACGAAGCGGATGCCCTTCAAGCTGCAACCCATCTCTGGGAAACCTCCATACACACTCACACACTACGGACAATTTAGCCTACCCAATTCACCTGTATAGCATGTCTTTGGACTTGTAGGGGAAACTGGACCACCCGGAGGAAACCCACGCGAACGCAGGGAGAACATGCAAACTCCACACAGAAACGCCAACTGACCCAGCCGAGGCTCGATCCAGCGCCCTTCTTGCTGTGAGGCGATAGCACTACCTACTGCATCGCCCCCCTGATTAAATAAAGGTCCCATGAAATTAAAACAAAGTTTTTTAGATGTTAGCATCAGTATTGTTAGCTTTTTAGGATATCTATAAGCTAGTGTGCTCCAAAGCAGTGATACAATTTGCGTTTAGAAGAAATAAAACTGATATTTTTAACATGTAAATCTTGTAGTTTGCCATTTTGCCTAAATGGATTAAATGGTCTGGTCATCTCATAGTTTCTCATCACATCGTGACCAATCAAATGCTCTCTATTATCTGACATGCCCCGCCCCCTTCAAGACGCTTCACATTTGATGTAAAATGCTATTGGTGGTTTTATAAAAAGGGGAGGGGCTACACTATGTCCCACCCACTCTTCATTTTCAGGCTGAGATTACACCAAACATCAAATAAATTTTAAATGCACTTCACGAGACCTTTAATTCAGATCTTTTGTACATTAAGATAAGAGTATCAATAATCTATTATGGCTGGAAAAATCCTGGCATATCGATATTTTGTCCCACCCCTAATCTACAGTATGATACAATAGTTACTCACGGCCATTACATTTATGCACATATACACATAAACACAGTTCAAAATTTCCAAAATGAAGATCATGCCCTGTAATATTAGACCTTATGCATGTATTTCTATATACAGAAAGTAGGAGGAAAGAAAGGCACACTGACATCCAAAGTCAAAAAAATTTTATTGTTAAAAATAAGTTACAACTGAAGAAAGAAATTAAGAAAAACAGAGAGAAAGCACGTAAACAAGGCCAGTTTCTCTGTACAACACCAGCCAAAATTGCAATCCCTCTGTTTAAGGAAAGAAGAAAGACGATAAGCATCGATTAATGCTGTAGTATTGGCCAAAATAAATGGCACTGCACACCCAGGCCCTGCAGCAAGCAAAGTTTTTCTGTATGACACTTAGAAAACCACAGAGCACTAGGAAAGTAGAGCGACATATAGTATAGGAGAACACAGAGGTCAATACATGTGTGACAGTACAAATAAATAATACACATCCTTTACAAACACTAAAAATGATTGGGAATGCTTATAATACAGTGGTTGTGATGCATTTGTGTAATTAATACTTAATAGTTTACAATCCTTACATTAAAAAAATTCTCACGTTCATTTAGTATGCTAATGCTGATGATCAATACACTCTCGGAAATAAAGGTGTGAAAGTGGTCACGAGGGCAGTTTCCTTTCAAAAGTTACTTTTTTGTACTTTTTAGGTACTAATATTAGGGATGCACTGATATACAATATATGACTGTTGCCCAATAACTCGTAATATTATGAAAAAAATACTAAAATCGTGAATAAAATAGTGTATAAATACAGCAACCAAGTCACTGAACTTTAACCAAAATCAAATGAAAAAGCACATAAAGTGATCCAACCAACAGAAATAATACATCATTTATCAGCTTAAAGATGTTGGCCTAATTTTGATATTGGGCTGATGAGGAAAATTCATAAAAAAAATTAAATAAAAAAAACTGCATTTATTAAACAATAATGATATAGCCGCAGATATATCATGCATCCCTAACTAATATGTATGTTTAAGGCACAATATGGAACCTTTATGTACAATATATAACTTTAAGGGTACCGATATGGATCCTTAAGATGCTAATATATAACTTTAAGGGTACCGATATGGATCCTTAAGGTACTAATATATACCTTCAAGGGTACCGATATAGATCCTTAAGGTGCTAATAATAACTTAAAGGATACCGATATGGATCCTTAAGGTGCTAATAAATAACTTTAAGGATACCGATATAGTTCATTAAGGTACTAATATATAACTTCAAGGGTACCGATATAGTTCATTAAGGTACTAATATATAACTTTAAGGATACCGATATGGATCCTTAAGGTGCTAATAAATAACTTTAAGGATACCGATATGGATCCTTAAGGTACTAATATATAACTTCAAGGGTACCGATATAGTTCATTAAGGTACTAATATATAACTTTAAGGATACCGATATGGATCCTTAAGGTACTAATATATAACTTCAAGGGTACCGATATAGTTCATTAAGGTACTAATATATAACTTTAAGGATATCGATATAGATCCTTAAGGTGCTAATAAATAACTTTAAGGATACCATTATGGATCCTTAAGGTACTAATATATAACTTTAAGGATACCGATATGGATCCTTAAGGTACTAATATATAACTTCAAGGGTACCGATATAGTTCCTTAAGGTACTAATATATAACTTCAAGGGTACCGATATGGATCCTTAAGGTACTAATATATAACTTCAAGGGTACCGATATAGTTCATTAAGGTACTAATATATAACTTTAAGGATACCGATATGGATCCTTAAGGTACTAATATATAACTTCAAAGGTACCGATATAGTTCATTAAGGTACTAATATATAACTTTAAGGATATCGATATAGATCCTTAAGGTGCTAATAAATAACTTTAAGGATACCATTATGGATCCTTAAGGTACTAATATATAACTTTAAGGATACCGATATGGATCCTTAAGGTACTAATATATAACTTCAAGGGTACCGATATAGTTCCTTAAGGTACTAATATATAACTTCAAGGGTACCGATATGGATCCTTAAGGTGCTAATATATAACTTTAAGGTATCAAAATGGATCCTTGAGGTACTAATATATAACTTTAAGAGAGTACCAATATGGATCCTTGAGGTACTAATATGGATCATTGAGGTATTAATGCATAACTTGAAGGGTACTAATATGGATCCTTGAGGTATTAATATATAACTTTAAAGCACCAATATGGATCCTTGAGGTTTTAATATATAACTTTTTAAGATGACAATATGGATCATTGAGGTACTAATATATAACTTTAAGGGACCAATATGGATCCTTGAGTTATTATCATTGAGGTACTACTATACAATTTTAAGGGTACCAATATGGATCCTTGAGGCACTAACATACCCTTTAAGTACATAAGTATACTTTTTTAAAAGACACCATAAAGTGACAGCTTTTGTACCTTTCTTTCTGAGTGTAATCACATTTGAAACGAAATAAACTCTACAATTAGAAATGAAACGAGTGATGCAGTATGGGAGGAAAATGAGAGGAAACAGTTTAAATCAGATGGACCAGTAGTACCAGAAATAGACTTCTCCTCGTAAGTCATGTGGGCTTCTCTGTAGATTACACCAACAGGCTTATAGAGGAAAAACCTTGACAAAAGGTTTAGTAGTGCAGTTTTTTAGGCACTTCCCAAGAGAAGGACTCACGACCAAAGTGGCCGTAAGCAGCGGTCTTCTGATATATCGGCTTCTTCAGCTCCAGCTCCCTAAAACACAATGCCAATGGATTATTGACACTGATGAATGTGTGCATTTAAAAAACGATCAGGGTGCATTTGAACAGCCAGCAAGAGAAGAGAAGGGATGATAAAGCAGTGACTTACCTTTAACCTGAAGGAGGAAACTGCAGCATGAAATAAAGAGCAAGTCTAAAAGCAAACACCAGCTAAATACTTCTTCACGAGTCTAAAAAATGCTGTTCAGAGCCAATTAAGCTTCATTAGTGATGCTATGCTTTGCTGTTAATTGTAATAATTACTATGTACAACTGAAAGTGAGTTCAAGAGCTATTATCATCTGTCAGAAATAATCGAAAGATGCAAACACCCAATGAAAAGGAAGCACAGAGAGAAGCAGAAAAGAAAGGAATGATTCGCCGAGCTTTGTCTTAAGCTGAAATTCAAGACACATGAAAGTCCATCAAAGGAGCCGTCTTTACCTCACGATGACTCCTGGGCGAAGATCGAAATTTTTCTTGACAATTTTAAGCAGCTCCTGCTCGCTCTTTTGGGATGTGCCGTAGTGGAAGATGGAAATGGAGAGAGGATGAGCCACTCCAATGGCGTAAGAGACCTGTGAAACAGCAAAGGCAATGTTTATGCATCAGCAAATCAATTGTAAAGTATTATATTAGTATTATAAGTATTACACCTTTTCCAAAGTACATATCAGATGTATTTTAAAACCTTTCCAGCACTTCACAAGTGTGACAAATTACAGATTTACATACATATACATAATCACTTAAATAATAATAATTCCTTACATTTATAGACCATTTTGAGGGATAACAACAATAACAAAGGTGCTAATGTAGTTCCTGTTTTACATTTTTAACTTCAGAAGATCCTGAGAATCCAAAAAGGTCTGCATAATTTTAAATAATGTAATGGCAGCTGTTTTAATGTCAAGTTATGAGTGAATTGCCTCATGACAGTTATGCAATAGTTTGACAACAAGCAGGAAATGTTCATGGGCCAATGACATCACCACATTGAAATGGTCTATATAGCACTTTTTCTGGACACTCGAAGCGCTTTACATTTTTTAGGGGGGAATCTCCTCATCCACCACTAGTGTGCAGCATCCACTGGATGACGCAACAGCAGCTATATTGTGCCAGAGCACACACCACACACCAGCTGATTGGTGGAGAGGAGACAGAGTGATGAAACCAGTTATGATATGGGCATGGTTAGGAGGCCCTAATGGACAGAGGCCAGTAGGCAAATTTGGACAAGATGCTGGGGTTAAACCCCTACTCTTTTTCGAAGGACATCCTGGGATTTTTAATGAGTTTAGAGTTTCAGCGCATTTTACTGATGCGTTTCTTAAAACAGTTTACGGAGAGAGAAATGAAAGTATGCCTACACTGTGTGTTTTTCTTATTTTGCAAAAGCACACATATTTGTTGTTGTTGTTGTGAATGTAAACGAAAAAAAGTAGACACCTAACAGATTCGATTGATCTATTGCTCTTATCTGTACGATTAAAACTGAAAGTGTAATTTACATTCTTTTCGGCGTTAAGCCTGGTTTATACTTCTGCGTCAGGTGACCGGCGTAACCCACGGCGCATGCAACGCGCGTAGCTGTGCATTTATACTTCTGCGCGCTGTCTCTGTTGGTCTGCATTAACACTTCCGAAACGCTAGTTGGCAGTAAGGTGTAAATGTTCCTCTGTGTCGAGTTTCTTCGCTGCTGTTTAGTTTTCCTGAACACTTCCTGGATGTACAAGTGGCTCAAACTCGCTCATTTTGAGGCAGGAACCGGCGGACGTGCAACAACTTTAACTATGAGGTAAACACAAAACAAAACTTTCCATCCGGAGCTCCTTCACGGGACTCACACTTGTAAACAATCGCTCCATCAGGCTCGCGACATTCGCGCGGCTCTCGGTCCCGCCCAGACTCATCAGCGCTACCAAGCCGACCAATCACAGAGCTTGCGCTACGCGTTGTTGCGACGTGTAGTTACATTTTTTAAAAGGGTGCACGTCAGTGACGGCCACGGCGAAGGACTATGCGTAAGCGCCGTAGCGTACGCCGGCGTTTGACGCAGAAGTATAAATCAGCCTTTATGAGGAGAAGATGTGTCAAAACGCGTATATGCGGTCTTCGACCTCTAGGGGTTAAAGACCACAAAAAAAAAAAAAATATATATATATATATATATATAAATATATATATATATATATATATATATATATATATATATATATATATATATATATATATATAAAAAAAAACAGATAGATCAAGCTACAAGCAAACATGGAGACCCCAAAGATTTAATTTTATGCAAAAACAAAAAGAAAATGCTGATTTTTAATTTAACTTAAATAGTTAATTATTATTACCCATTAAGTAGGAAACAATTATATAATTAAAAGAAGCGGTTTCAAGCTCAGGTCTCAAACCTCGAAAAATCTCTAAGGTTTCAAGGTTTTCGATCACACTTTACAATAAGCTTTCAATAGTTAATTCTAGTTGATACATTTACTAACATGAACTAATAATGAACAGCATTTATTAATCATAGTTCAACACTTTCTAACGGATTAATTAACATCCAAAGTTGCTCTTGTTAACATTAGTTAATGCGCCGTGAGTTAACTTTATGTCCATTAACAAACATGAATAAATACTGTAATTAGCGTGTTTTTCGTTGTTTGATCATGTTAGTAAATGCATTACTAACACAACCTTATTGTAAAGTGTGACCAGGGTTTTTGAGTATCCGTACAAACACTGTATATGCTCTTAGCTAGGCCTGTAAAAATATCTATATTTTGTTGTGCGATATGCTGCACCAAAATATATTGCGATAAATGATATCATCGTCATTTTAAGGCCATTTTATTCATTCATTATATAATGGCAGAATGACAAGGTAATATCACAATGCAAGTACACTCTTCCAAAGAACACATCCTATTTTATTCTTAAGAATATTTCATTTAATTTTAGTCATTTTAATAGTTTAATAATCAGGCAGTGGAGTCAGAATGTGGAAACACATAGCCTAAATCAATAATCATAAATGTTAACGGGGTACAAAGTAACATAATCTGGATATCTACAACCAGATCTATTTTCAGCTGTCAGACACCCACATAAAAATGTACTATAGTAATTTATAGTAAATACAACAGTGTTTTTAACCATACTGACATCTCCAATAGAGATCAGCAAAAAAGTTGCTAGAATTGGTGCTTATGTATGGGCGATATATATTGCATCACCAAAAACAATTGAGGTCATGTCCATGTGCGATAAGTCCATATATTGATTATTATGACAAGCCTACCCTCAGCAGAGCACTGAACATCTGATTTACCTGCACAAGTACACGTCTGCACAGTTTTGCCTTCACCAGGGATTTGGCCACCCAGCGGGCAGCATATGCAGCAGATCGGTCCACTTTAGTGTAGTCCTTTCCAGAGAACGCTCCTCCACCGTGAGCTCCCCAGCCTCCGTAGGTATCGACAATAATCTTACGTCCAGTCAGACCGGCATCACCCTAAATCAACAGAAAGGCATCGATGTTGAAAACTTATTTGCGTTTAATCAGACTCCTTACCCTGGCTTATTCTGAAAATAATCTGGAGAGTGCCAAATACGTCCCAGGAGCTACATTTTTATCTGTTTTTGCTGACAGAGGCCGCTGTCAACTGACTGACTGATCGACTTGCCCATCTTCCTCTCCTCCTTCCCTAAACTCACCCTGTAGTGTTCATTTTAAAGCCAAATGCAGACATATGTACTTCTGGATACATAATTTGCGATCTCCAGGAATATATATAGGGCTATGTTTTCACAATGAGCCTGTGTTGAAAGATCAACACTAAAGAAATGAAAAAGACTAAAGGAATCATTGAAAAACAGCAGTTTCAACGTTTAAATAGCTTTAAAGGCGCAGTATGTGATCTTTCCAACTAGAGGGCGTGTATTCACAACAAACAAAAGTCTTCTGTTATAATGCTGCTCTGTGCAATCGAACGAAAGACACAACATATTAAAGCCTCACTGCTGTTACCCTGTTTTTTATGAAACCAAACCAGATGTCAAGGGTGTGTGGTGTCATTAGCATGAACACACACTCCGAACACTAGTTTAAACTGCTTATTTCTCTGCGTTTGACCATTCGTTTAATTATTTGGAATAATGTAAGTGAAAAAATCGTGCATATTATACTTTTAACCACTGTCCAAATCGATCCCATCACAAAAGGACAATAGTGGTATCTCAGGTTTTAACTTCAGAGTTTAATTTAAGACTTTTAAGACATTTTAAGACCATTATGGATGAAATTTAGACCCATAACGGGCTAAAGGCTAAAGAATTTTCAAATGGCCCAAATGAAAAAGATTTGTATTTGTCTATCAAAAATGTAATACAAATTTATTAAGTTTAATAATACAATAATACATTAATAATAAAAAATGCTAATATTTTATATTTTGTTTCTTAGCTAAATATTTTAAATATTGTGTAAAAACAAGCAAGCTCTACTTGTATCCATACTTTTTTCCAGCATAAACTTTCTTTTAAATATATAAAGAAATGAACAAATGTTTTAAAGTTTTAAAACTATAATAATTTAAATCTATGCAAATCAATCTGTCCAGGTGGGTGTTCTCAGCAGGGGAGAACGATCAAACATATGTTAATTTAAGGAAAATAATTAAAACATTGTGATAAATGGAGCTAAATATTACCTTTTAAATAAAAAGTTTAAAGTTTTATTGAGATGATTGTTGGTGATTGTATAGATTTTAGCCTGATTTGGTAGCAATACATAAACAGGAAAATTAAGACCTGTTTAAAAAAGATTTAAGACCTATAACATAACATTTCAGTAAATTTAGGACTTTTTAAGGCCTAATATTTGGATTTTGAGATTCAACATATTTTGAGACCTGCAGAAACCCTGTAACTAGATTATAGTAGACAACAAAAACAAACAAACTCATGTTATTGTTCATTCATTTTCCTTTGGCTTAGTCCCTTATTAATCATGGGTTGCCACAGTGGAATGAACCACCAACTTATCTAGCATATGTTTTACGCAGCGGATGCCCATCCAGCCGCAACCCAGTACTTCGAAACACCCAAACACAGTCATACACTATGGCCAATTTAGTTTACCCAATAGCGCATGTATTTGGACTGTGGGGGAAACCAGACAACACGGAAGAAACCCACGCCAACACGAGGAGAACATGCAAACTCCACACAGAAATGCCAACTGACCCAGCTGGGACTCGAACCAGCAACCTTCTTGCTGTGAGGCAGTGCTAGCCACTACACCACCATGCTGAAATAACACCATAGACAATTTCTCTTCAAATGTAATTCAAGTACTTTCAATGACCTGCGTTTGTTCTAAGTTCTTTCTAGGCCTTGAATCCACATGTCTGACATTCAAGTATTTTCAAGAAGCATGGGATGCCTGGGTCCTACATAAACTACGCAAACTGTTGTTCACCTGAGGGCCTCCGATGACGAAGCGTCCACTGGGCTGTAAGTGGTAGATGGTGTCGTCATCCAGATACATCGAGGGCACCACAGTGTTGATGACTTTATCTTTAAGAGCGTCGCGCATCTCGTCAAGGCAGATGTCTTCATCGTGTTGCACAGAGATGACGATAGTGTGGACACGAATGGGCAGCATAGCTCCATGCTCCTGTCTGTATTGCACGGTCACCTGTTAAAAGTGAGAAAACGCATTATAACACAACACACAACTGCATACAAGCACTATTAGACATCACATCTTTGTGTTCTGAAATGTTCGGTCCAGAAGTATAAACTCCATTCATTTACTCTAAAGGGAAACAGATTTATAGCAATACCTTATAAACCTTTAGAACCCTGTCATACACCCAATAAGGCGCAAGATGTGTTTGCCGCAATGTGTTGCTATTTTCAGACCAGCGCAACCCTAATTTTCTTGTTTTGCGCCACGTTGTTTAAATAACAAATCTATTTGCGCCACTTTGTGGAATCATGTGTGTGCCGGTCTGGAAAAGAGGTGTGTTAGGGCGCATTGTTGGCAAGTTGCTATTTTGAAGAACTAAAATAGACTGCGCAATTGACCCTGAAAGCAGGTCTAAAGTCTAGCACAGAGCGCGTTAAGCCTGGTTTATACTTCTGCGTCAAGTGACCGGCCTAACCCACGGCGCATGTAACGCGCGTAGCTGTGCATTTATACTTCTGCGCGCTGTCTCTGTTGGTCTGCATTAACACTTCCGAAGGTGTAAATGTTCCTCTGTGTCGAGTTTCTTCGCTGCTGTTTTGCTTTTCCTGAACACTTCCAGGATGTACAAGTGGCTCAAACTCACTCATTTTGAGGCAGGAACCGGCGGACGTGCAACAACTTTAACTATGAGGTAAACACAAAACAAAACTTTCCATCCGGAGCTCCTTCACAGGACTCCACACTTGTAAACAATCGCTCCATCAGGCTCGCACTATTCACGCGGCTCTCGGTCCCGCCCAGACTCGTCAGCGCTACCAAGCCGACCAATCACAGAGCTTACGCTACGCGTCATTGCGACGTGTAGTTACATTTTTTGAGAGGTGCACGTCAGCGACGCCGACGGCCACGGCGAAGGGCTATGCGTCAAAGGCGTAGCATACGCTGGCGTTTGACGCAGGAGTATAAATCAGCCTTTAGTTGTGCGCCTCGCTAACACGTTGCTTAATACACACAGGATGTACAGCAATACACAAATATCTTTACATATGAAACCATTTAAAAGAATAAAATAGTACAAAAATTTGGGTTTTAGAGACGTCTGCATCACCATATAGGCATAAGTCTGTTTGTCCACTTATAAGCCATTTGTCCACTCAGCTCACCGTGTACGTCGGCAGGCTCGAGATGCAGAGAGGAGTTGAACACGGCGATCGGTTTCGAGTCCGGGGAAGAGCGGTTCCAGAAATCAGGTAAGACAAAAACAGAATCCCAAAAATTAAGTGAACGAGTTTCATAACAGGGTGAGAACGCGGTGAAATCCGAAAACGCGGTAGAAAAACAAAAATATCAGGGCTTTTATTTTTTTTGGACGGCTTTTTGTAAACGGTTGCTCGGGTTTAGGAAAGCGAGCGGGCGGGTCGATCGGTAAAATTGGTTTGGTTCAGGGAAGGAGGAGGGTGGGTCGGCCGATTGGCCGGTCGCACAGTCAATCATCCGGTCAGTCGGACAGCGGCCTCTGGTGGATTCACGCGAGAACATCGCGGGCGTGAACCGCACTCGCGAGAGGCGTCTGAGGTGCGAAAAGCACACAACAGCGGCCTCTCGCGGATTCACAAAAACTGCAGCGGTACGTACCCGCCGGGACGTATTCCACCTTCTCCAGAAACGTCCGCAGGACCACGTTTCCACAATGAGCCTGGCTTGGGTTTAGAACAAGTGAAGGATGAACTATCCCTTTAAATCACGCTTTCAATGCAAATAACATGATATTAACAACTTATTTCTTAAACCCCTGTAGAAAATACTTCCAGACCCAACACACACTGAAAAGGTTGAAGAAAACTACAGCTCTCGATTCCTCAAACCTGAGTTTTGGAGTCTGGACGGAGCCAGGGCAGGGTCCCGTTGCGGCGCAGTTCAGCCATCTTAGAGTTAAGTTTGTGAGCGAGCACAATAGTGAGTGGCATACATTCCTCTGTCTCATCGGTGGCGTAGCCGAACATCAAACCCTGAAAGAGCACAACAATAAAAATAAATAGCTGAAGACACAATTATTAATCATTCATTTTCCTTCAGCTTAGTCCCTTATTTATCAGTGGCCGCCACAGTGGAATGAACCACCAACGTACCTGATCACCAGCCCCAACGTCCTGCTCGTCTCGCTCTAAATGAACGCCCTGAGCGATGTCTGGAGACTGCTGCTCCAGAGCCACCAGCACATTACAGGTCTTATAATCAAAGCCTACGGGTTCAGGAGAGAGGATTGTGGATACTCAGTGTGTTTTCATTGAATTCATTTATATTAAAACCGCATGATCCCACTAGGGGTCAACAAGGATTTATTTGGGGTCACTACAATCTAAGGGGTTATAGGACCAAATCAAACAGACACTAATTTATTATAAAAACCTCTAAATGCCATCTCAAATGTTCTCCTAACATGACCATTTTTGTCAGCCTCCTATGTTTATGTTCAGTTATTTCACTTAAAGGCAATGTAAATAAGTTATTTGTCACAATAAAAGTAAAATTACTGAGCCTACACACAGAAAGAAAATATCAGACGGCTTTTAGAGGTTTTTGCATCTAAACTCTTCAATTATTGACAGTTCATTTTACCATGCTATTGATCCTTAAAAGTCTATATAATTCAACCCAGGCTCATTCTCAAAACGTAGTACCGCGGATGTTTCTGGAGACTGCAAAATACGTCCCGGGAGGTACGTATTTGTGCAGTTTTTGTTTTCACGAATACGGAGAGGCTGCTGTGTGAGCTTTTTGGCATCTCGAACATCTCTCGCGGGCGCAAACTCGCGTAAAGCCACTGGAGGCCGCTGTCGAGTGACCGTCTGTCTGACTGACTGACTGATTGACTGGGCGACTGGCCAATCGGCCGACCCACCCTCCTCCTCCTTCCCTAAACCCAACAGGTTTTACCGACTGACCCGCCCACTTGCTTCCCTAAACCCAAGCAACAATTTACAAAAGCCGTCCAGTTACCATGTTTTCGGATTTCACCACATTCTCACTCTGTTATGAACTCGTTCACTTTATTTTTTGGATTCTGTTTTTGTCTTACCTGATTTCTGGAATCGTTCTTCCCTGGACTCGAACACGGTCGTGGTCGTCATCGTGGTCAGCTCCTCCCTGCGTCTTAACTCTGCTGACGTACACGACGAGCTAACTGGACAAACTAGTTGCGGCGGGAAAGCCCTCCACACGGAGGTAGAGTGTCACACCGCCCCATAGCGTTCGCTTACATACGTACCTCCGGCTACATAAATCGCGGTCTCCAGAAACGTCCGCGGGACTACGCTTTCAGAATGAGCTTGGGTTGATATAATTACAGCTACTTGACCTGTACTAGAGGTCACGTATGTGTGTAATAAAATACATCATCAAACTAACCCTTGGTTGAGTCGTCATAGCCGATGTGTTTTATGGTGTCTCGGACCACCTTCTGATAGTCAACAACAGCACGGGATGTCACCTCTCCAGCCAGCAAAATCATTCCAGTTTTGGCAACAGTTTCTAAATAAAAAGACCATCAACGTTTATTTTCATGCACAATATTAGAAATAGCACATGCAAACCTCAAAATCCCCCCAAATAAGGCCAACATACCGCAAGCCACCTTTGCATCTGGGTCTTGCTTCAGGTGAGCGTCCAACACTGCATCACTTATCTGGTCGCAAATCTTATCTGTACAACACAATAATAACAACATTAATGCATATTTGTTTCACACTAAGCTTATAAATAGTTTATATTATGTTAATAACTGGGGCGTATTGTAGTATATTTTAACCCTATAGTTACCTACAGCATTAAGTCATTTGCATCTGTTACCATAGAAACTATAAAATTACCACAACAGAATAATTCAAGTACTTTACTACAGTATGGTTAAAGACATTATCGTATTTACTATAGTATTTTTTCATGTGGATAATGATCAAACATGGCCATCCATTTTCTTTTCGGCTTAGTCCCTTTAATAATCAGGGATCGCCACAGCGGAATGAACCGCCAACTTATCCAGAATATGTTTTATGCAGGGAATGCCCTTCCAGCTGCAACCCATCACTGGGAATTAAAAATGACTAAATCCATTCAAATTAAAATAATAATAATAAAATGTATATTATTATTTTCTATTTATAATATTGTAAAATTTCTAATAATAAAATGTATAATAATAATAAAACGTAATAAATAAATTAAAATTCAACTGAAAAAAGAAATGCACTAGGGCGACAGTGGTTAGCGCTGTCACCTCACAGCAAGAATGTCGCTGGTTCGAGTCCCAGCTGGTTCAGTTGGCGTTTCTGCGTGGAGTTAGCATGTTCTCCCCGTGTTGGCGTGGGTTTCCTCCAGGTGCTCCCGTTTCCCCCACAGTCTAAACACATGCGCTATAATGGATTAACTTAATTGGCCGTAGTGTATGTGTGAGTAAGTATGCATGTATGTTTCCCAGTAATGGGTTGCAGCTGGAAGGGCAACCGCTGTGTAAAACATATGCTGGAATAGTTGGTGGTTAATTCCGCTGTGGCGACCCCTGATGAATAAAGAAACTGAGCCGAAGGAAAATGAATGAATGAACGAAATGAACCAAACTAAAATGTACACTATTTGATAATGTAAAACAATCCCAGACGAGAATTTTTATATTATTTTTTGTTATTCCTTAAGTTCCCATCAACATAAAAAAATATTATAGTACATACCATAGTGTTTTTGAACCATACTATGCTAAAATTTATTATATACGGTGTACAAATAAAATTTTACACAAATTACGTTTCACAGTGAACTGTAATGTAATGTTTATTGTAGAATTTACCTTATCTTACTGGACTGCTAGTTACTTCATACCCTGTATATTATTAGGACACTGTCACTTAATCATATTTTCAAACTTTTGCACTATATACTGTTTTGCATTACACTATACTTTTTGCACTGTATACTGTTTTGCATTATACTGTACATTTTGCACTATATACTGTTTTGCATTACACTATACTTTTTGCACTGTATACTGTTTTGCATTATACTGTACATTTTGCACTATATACTGTTTTGCATTATACTGTACTTTTTGCACTATATACTGATTTGCATTACACTATACTTTTTGCACTATATACTGTTTTGCAGTATACTGTACTTTTTGCACTATATACTGTTTTGCAGTATACTGTACTTTTTGCACTATATACTGTTTTGCATTACACTATACTTTTTGCACTATATACTGTTTTGCATTATACTGTACTTTTTGCACTATATACTGTTTTGCATTATACTGTACTTTTTGCACTATATACTGTTTTGCATTATACTGTACTTCTTGCACTATGTACTGTTTTGCTGCACAACTCTGGTTAGCACTCCTTGCCATATGCCCTTAGTGTAATTGTATTGTTTACTAATTTTAAATTTTAGTTATATCTTTAGTTTTTTTTAATTCTACTTTTGTATTAATATCATCTGTTAGGCACCTAGGGTCTGAGAATAACGCAGTTTCGATTCTCTCTATGTCCTGTACGTGGGGTTGAATTGACAATAAAGCTGACTTTGACTTCATTCAGTTGTGGTGTTTTGTAGCGTAATATATCCTACAGTTGTAAAAATACAGCATTTGTTTACATTAATATGGTTGTAGTATTACCTTAACAACTATAGAATTACCACAATATATTATTACATGCGTTTTAAAACCGTATCAGAAGTATTTACTATAAATTACTATAGTATTTTCTTCATGTTGGCAGTTCTCACTCTAGCATTCAGTTGCATATGAGAAAAAAACCTGGGACCTTTTCACAGTACACTGTAATGTAATTGTAGTATATACCCTTTGAAAATGCAGTATTGGCTCATTTGTTTATATTAATATGGTTTCTGTGTTACCTTAAAAACAACTATAGAATTACCACAATATATTAATTCAAGTATTTTAAATAGTATGGTTTTATTTACTATAAATTACTATAGTATTTTTTAATGTGGGCAGTCCTCATTCTTGCATTCAGTCGTGGTGTATTGTAGTATAATATAGCCTATAGTTGTAAAAACAACAGACTTAGGTCATTTGTTTATATTATTATGGTTGTTGTGTTATCTTAGTAACATTATAATTACCACAATATGTTGATTGAAGTTTTTAAAAATAGTATTACTAGTATTTACTATGAATTACTACAGTATTTTCTTCATGTGGGCACGCCTCATTCCTGCATTGAGTTGCACATGAGAGAAAACCCCGCGCTCTTTTTTTTCTCTCTGAAAGAGGGCGGAGTCTGTGCAGCATGCCTGATTCCACGTGTTTACAACGGGTCCGGTCTCAAACCTCGCTCAGCTCCCTACATGTACACTACCTTTTGTGGTATTAGAGAGGTGGTTAGTGTCAGCTAACACGTGCGAGCGTGGAAGTGATGTCATTTTTGAGACACGGCCATGAAAACGTGCACTGTGCAGACGTTTATTAAGTATTTATATCGAACTAATGCATTTAAATAACAGTTGCAAACAAAAACAGGTGCAGGTTTTAAGGAAAGCTACGGTTTAAAAAGTAAGCTATTGAAATAAGGGACGTAAATATAACGTTATTACAGCTGCTGTTATGTAATAGCGGACTTGAACACAAAGTTTTGAGAGTTTTATTATTTATTTTTTACCTGGATGGCCTTCTCCAACGGACTCGGATGTAAACAAGAAGCAGTCCTCCTCAATGAGAGAGTTGTGGAAACCGTTAATCTGTCCGTTCATCATTTTTCGGTTTCTCTTTAGTAGTATTCGAACGCGGCGTAAACGCTGGGAAATCTGTGTCACCCCTCTGAGAAACGTGAAAGTATTTATGGAGCGGTCCGTCCGCGTCATCAGGGGGTTGCTCTCATTCGTCCTGTCAGGTGAAAGGATCATACCATGCCGAGTGGAGGGGGATGGCTTAGAAATCTGTGGCACCGAATGATGTAAACTTGCGTGGGATTGCACGGTAAGCGAAGTCCACACACACACACACACACACACAGTTGCGCAAGAGAATAGCCGACAACATAAAGGTAGCCTACGTATTTACTCAGAAAAAATCAATAACACTACACTTATATTCACTTACATTTTGTTCATGTATCATCTTGTTACCTCACACGAAATAATACATATATGTTTTAACCATACTATATAATTAAAGTTGTATTGTATGTGCTTTATATTGTATATTATAATATCTCTGTGTGGAGTTTGCATGTTCTCCTCTTGTTGGCGTGAGTTTTCTCCGGGTGCTCCGGTTTCCCCCACAGTCCAAACACATGCGTTAATGGGGAATTGAATAAACTAATGTGGCTGTAGTGTATGAGTGTGTGTGTGTGAATGTGAGAGAATAGCGGCTGGAAGGGCATCCGCTGTGTACAACATATGCTGGAATAGTTGGCGGTTCATTCCGCTGTGGTGATCCCTGATAAATAAAGGGACTAAGCCAAAGGAAAATGTATGAACACAGTATAGTCCTAATAATTAACAAAACATTAACAAGAAAGTACTAGAATGCATAATAAAAATCTTTTTTTTTTTTTTTTGGTGCTGTATTTTACATCTCACAGTACACGTTATCCTCATAATACTATATCTTATTATTTGATGTACCTTGGTGATAACAATAGTGATAACAACGAGCACTAAAAACACAATTATAGCCAGAGGAAGCCAGAGAATACAGTTATAAGAGATAAAAATGGTGCCCTGGAGATTTGTGCTACCTCTGCTTCTTATCAGCTGACCTGATGTGATTTGAGGAGGGGTAAATTATACGTCTGCAGCTTATTGAAGCACCAAATCCTTTATCCTAACAGCCAAGGGGAGAAACTGTGCTGTCAGTTTCTGCAACACAAGCAAAATTACACTTCAGCAATACTTCGATATTGATCTGAATTGAAGCCATTTGTGGTCACATGCATGTAAACTGGGGCTGCACGATATTGGAAAAATCTGTTAATCTGCTATATTCATGTATTGCGATATGCCTAAAACTTCACCAGATGACTTGAATAGCTTTATTTGTAAACAATTAATCATTTTTAAGGGTGGCACGGTGGTCACTGGTGGTTCGAGTCCCGGCTGGGCCAATTGGCATTTCTGTGTGGAGTTTGCATGTTCTCCCCGTGTTGTTGTGGGTTTCCTCCGGGTGCTCCAGTTTCCCCCACAGTCCAAACACATGCTATAGGGTGAATTGGATGAACTAAATTGGCCGCAGTGTGTGAACGAGTGTCTATGGATGTTTTCTAGTACTAGGATGCGGCTGGAAGGGCATCCGCTGTGTAAAACATATGCTGGAATAGTTGGCGGTTCATTCCACTGTGGTGACCTCTGATTAATAAGGGACTAAGCTGTAAGAAAATGAATAAAAGATCATTGTAAATTGATTGGGATGATTCTGTAGGGGGGTGCATCTGCATAAAATCTAATACATTTTTAAAAAAGCATAGATAAATACAATAAATGACATTTACAATTGAAATAAACACTGTTACAGTAATCAGGTACAGATATCTTTTTCTATTCTACCAAACAAACAAACAATAAAACCCAGATTTTCTGAATTCAGCAGCAAATTTTCCTCATAACACTCCTGATTCCTCATGCAACACTAGCTGGATATCAAAGTGCACTGCTTATGTCATTAAGTGTTACATAGTCCATAAATTATGACCAGTTAGTGAATAACAATGCAATAATAACCTCTGAGATTAAACATGGAAGTAATTGAACCCTGCAGAATTTCATTCAGATTGATCACCATGAGCTGTACTTTACGCTTACAGCTGAACTTTGCCGCGTAATATCATTGATAATATTATAATATCATGGTTATTTACTGTATATATTGTGGCGATTGCTTCCACAGATTTTTCAACCCATCAGTTAATCAAGAAATATACATTGATTCATTCATATATATATATATATATATATATATATATATATATATATATATATATATATATATATATATATATATATATATATATACAGTTGAAGTCAGAATTAGTAGCTTCCCTTTTAATTTTTTTTTCTTTTTTAAATATTTCCCAAATGATGTTTAACAGAGCAAGGAAAGTTTTACAGTATGTCTGATAATATTTTTTCTTCTGGAGAAAGTCTTATTTGTTTTATTTAGGCTAGAATAAAACCAGTTATTCATTTTTTAAAAAAACATTTAGCCCCTTTAAGCTATAATTTTTTTCAGAGTCTACAGAAAAAAACATTGTTATACAACACCTCGCCTAATTACCCTAACCTGCCTAGTAAACTAATTAACCTAGTTAAGCCTTTAAGTGTCACTTTAAGCTGTATAGAAGTGTCTTGAATAATAAATATCTAGTGTAATATTAATTACTGTCATCATGGCAAAGAGAAAATAAATCAGTTATTAGAGATGAGTTATTAAAACTATTATGATTGGAAATAAGTTTAAAAAAATCTGCTCTCCATTAAACAGAAATTGGGGAAAAAATAAACGGGGGCTATTAATTCTGACTTCATCTGTATAATGTCAGTAATATTATGGAATGAGAATGCACTGAGCACTGAGAATGTAATTAAATTCAAAGTTAAATAAACATTAATCCAGTTGTTCAAGTGTAAAACGAGATGAAAAACCATTTAAACGCAAGCGCCGTCAGGAGCAGCAGGCGAAGGCACAATCTCCAGTGAAAATACTGAAGTAAAACACATTTCCATATTTTAAAGACAAGACGTGGGACAAATCATTTAGAGCAGAGCTTTGTGTACAGTCTGAGACCCAATTAAGATCGTATCTCAAACAGGCAGTGAAGATCATTGACTTTTAAATAAACCAGATCTTAAATGTGACGATCTAATAATGATATGACAGATCACCGGAAGCGATTAGTTGGCTTACTACAAATTAAAAGTCCCCGTGTAGCCAATTTTTAAAATTAATTTATGCAATACTGCATGTAAAGCTAACTAATAACCTTTACGTTTCTGATTTTGAGTGTAATGCATTAATCTTTGATTTTTATGCAATGATCATTGACTTTTAAAGGAACCAGATCTTAAACGTGGCGACTTTATAATAATATGTTAGTTCACCAGAAGCAATTGAGTTACCTTACTACAAATTAAAAGTACTTAAAAAAGTACTTACTTTTACACGTTAAAAGTCCCTGTAGAGCCCATTTGAAGTTATTTTTCAACAAAGTAATTTAATTTGATGTACTAATTAATACATTTTTGAAGTTAATTACCCAATACTGCATTTAAAGCTAACTAATAACCTTTACTTTTCTGATTTTGACTGTAATGCAATAACGTGCACCTTTTGAAACAATAATTATTGTGAAAAGTGCTGTACAAATAAACCTAAACTGAACTGAATACCATGAAGCTGCACACACACACACACACGCACACACACACACACACACACACACACACAGTGTTACTCCCTAAATCTGTCGTGTCATATTAAATGAGCATTTCTGATTTAAATGCTATCATAAATTAACGATGACTAAGAGTTTTGTTTTATTCAACATGACACATAAAGTCAGATTTCCAGGCTGTGTGCGACCTTGACACGGTCAGGATGAGACAGCAGTTTGCCAGCACAAATCTCCAGCACAATGGCACTCAATACCACACCTCTCAATCCGGCAAAGTGTTGCATCAGACGCTGGCACACAAACACACGCTTCTGCTGTGTATACAAACCTTTCGCGTGATAACAGTTGTTATGTTGCCCGGGTTGTTTTTCTTATCAGTCTCACCTGTGAAAGAGCATTACATAACATGGAGAGGAGTTTTGGTTAGTTGTGTTACTGTACTTTATGAGTCAGAGGCTGTTATTCAACGCTGATGATTGACGGTTTTAATTCACACACCGACAAGTCTTACCTTGTGCATTTCATAATGTTGTGTTATATGCACGTGTTTGTGCCAGCTTTACTATAGAAATGCATGTGACGGTTGCACCAGCAATCTATCCGATGTAGACTGTAAAATGTAGAAACGTTTCAAAAGTACTTTGGTGATATATTATTTTAAAGTGCTATATAGTGCACTGGGACGGCTCAGTGGTAAACACTGTCACCTCACACCAAAAAGATCACTGGTTTGAGTCCTGGCTAGGGAATTAAGCAAGATCTGGTGCCCGCCGTTTAGGAAATTCAGAGGGATCTGGTGCCTGCCATTTGGGGAATTCAGAAGGATATGGAACCTGCCATTTGGGGAATTTAAAAAGATCTGGCGCCCGCCATTCAGTGAATTCAGGAGGATCTGGCACCCACCATTCGGGAAATTCAGGAGCGTCTGGCAGCTCTGGAGGCAGGCCTGGATTGGCTAATCGGGAGGACCTGGAGAATTCCCGGTGGGCCGGTCCGTTTTTTGACCGCGAGGGCCGGTGTCCCTAGCTCCAGAATCTGTTGCTCTCAGCAGTCACACTTTTTAAATTAATTTATTTATTTACTTGACCACAGTCTTCTTATTCATTATTTTACCGCATCTCTGCTCTTTTTATATATAACCAGCCTGCAGGTTAATGATGACTCGAATGAGTCACCTCTAAATATTGAGCTGTTGTGGTCCAGTGGTTAGCACGTTAGATTACGATGCCGCTGTCCTGGGTTTGATCCTCCTCTGAGTATGTTTTTTTTTTCCATTTTTATTGTTAAGACATATAATACTGTTAGGGTTGTTGAACATTTGAAGTTCTAAAGCAGCTGTTTTCTCAAAAAAAAGACGTGATAGTGTCATTAGAAACTGAATTGTAATGACCTAACTTTAATATAGTCAGTCGTGAACTGAGGTGGG